ATCTGGTGCGCGTTGCTACTTATTTGCATCGATGCAATTCAAAAACACACATTGCTGAGGGGTTGTCTGTGTGTGCGCCTGTGTGTCTGTGCATGTGTCTGCTTGCTCGTCTGTACCGACTTTTCATCTTGAGACCTACAAAAGCTACAGAGCCGAAACTTTGGGAACTTAATCTGCATGCACGTATGAGCCCCCATTTCCAAAACTGGCGCTCCTACCCACGTGGTTCCCCCGTGCAGACTCGTTAAAATTTTTTGCATGTAAGTTGTTAACTCGGAAACCTAGAGGCTGGAAGACTGCAATTTTAATGAGATGCTTCCCGTCCACGTAAATCTCAATGAGCTCAAGCCCGTGCACCTAGTGTGCGTGGTACCCACATACGGGCCCGCGGAAGTTTTTTGCAGGTAAGTTGTTAACTTGGAGCCTGAAAAGCTAGAAGACTGGAATTTTAAGGGGTTGTTCCCCATCCATGTAGCTGTTAATGAGCTCAAACCCAGCTCCCGGTTATACGTGGTAAGCTGCTAATTCGAGAATCTGAAAAGCTAAAGGGTTGGAATTTTAAGGGGATGTTCCCCATCCGAGTAGGTATTAATGAGCTCAAGCCCAGAAACGGGGTATGCGTGGTACCTGCGTACAGACCCGTGAATGTTTTCGAGCGAACTGCTAACTCGGGAGGCAGGAAAGCTAGAAGGCTGAAACTTTAAAGGGTATTTCCTTACAGTTCTGACAGCCAGTCTCAATTAGTTTAGCTAGAAGCATTTGCTGAAAAAACTGGTGCTGGCGGCGACAAAAACTGCGGGAAACTATGCAAAAAATGCATCTTCGCGCTGGCATCCGGTGCGTTGGCCAATTATTAATTTTTGTGAACGAGAACGATGGTTAGGGCGACACATTGCTCTTTCGATCAAAAAGATATCATAGTCTGACTTTAAGTAGACTTTTATATTTTAAAACCCAGGCTGAAACGCACCAGGCTTGCCGGTGCGAGCATAGGTTTTTGCACCAAACTCGCAGTTGGCTAATAGCAGAAACGATCTCTAAGTGTTAGACACTTGGGCCCATATTAACCGCGCTTCGGCCTCTTCCGGCATGCAGGAGAAACGGCATCGTTTGGGATGAAGGTGGTGCATTATAGAGCCACATAGAGCTCCAGGTACATGATTGGTTTTTTACATGAAGCCCGGTCGTTTTTCCGGTAAACGCCATCTTTCTGAAAAAATTGGCCAACGCACGGGCTGCCCATGCGAAGATGCGTTTTTTGCAGAGTTCCCCGCAGTCCTTGTCGCTACCGGCATCGGTCTTTTCGGCAAATGCTTCTAGCTGAAAGAATTTCAGGCTGGCCGCCAGAACTGTTGGAAACATCCCTCCAAGATTCCAGTCTTCTAGTTTCTCACGTTCTCAAGTAAGTAACTTGCCCGGAAGGAACTTTTCACGGGCCTGCACGTAGGTACCACGCTTACCCGCGGG